CGGCTTGATAGATTTTGGCTTGTAACACTTAGAGTGACACTGAGTCTATCAAAATTATGAATATTAAAATCGGTGGTTTGTTAATTTTAAGTAGGTACCTATACATTTTCAGACAGTCGGATTTTTAGCTTGTTGTGTTGGAACACTTGTCTTAAAAATATTGTAATGTCATATTTGACAGCTGCTTGCTTGTTTTTAGTCTTAGTGTTCCACTTTTGTGAGTAACTAGAGCTGTATTATGATATTTTATTTTCTCGGAGTCAGCTTAAATTTTAATAAAATTAATAATGAATTATGATCTACGCAGGACAATAGCACTGCAAAGAGAATGAAAACTTGAAACACTTGAAACAAACCCAATAACAACCCATCTGGCCAGCGTGGTATAGTAGGCCAATTCCTTTTGTACCCTTTCTGAGAAGAGGCCTAGGTATGTCCAGCAGTGGATTAGCATAGATGCAGTGTTGTTGTCCTGCGTAGTTTGCTCCATTAGTCGGCTCTTACGACACTCAAGGGAATTCGTTTCTAATTACTTTAAAATTTAAAATATCTTTACAAATAAACACATTACTTCCCATTTTAATTTACGTTTTTAAAAGTACCTATATAATACTTTGTCAATATTGTGACAGCATTTTTCGAGAAACAGTATAATGTAATTAAAATAACCCATAATTAGAAACAAGAAGTACCAGCTTAAATTTAAATGACTAAAACTTTACAAATAAACTACTAAAGTAGTCACAATAAGAAAGACGCTACTTAATTCTAGTTTAACCTCGATCACACAAAAAGTGGACAAAAATAGCCGTGAACAGTATTGTTTGTCACCTTTCACGCGGAAGGAAGAACACCACAACTCATATGGGAATCACGCGCATTACACGCGTTAAGAAATATTAACTAACAAACGGAAACCATGACGGATATCCTCCGTGTTTATGGTATGCTGTCTCCTTAGCATCCAGACGCACTTATAACGCCATACCTGAGTCCTGGGCTCGGCTATTGGTGGCCATTTTGTATAACATGCGCGTACGTCGCTTCCTGCTTCGAAATGGTACGCCACCTAGCCATTGTTCTGTTGGAGGGGATGTGTGTGACTGGAATACATATTAAATAATGGTTTAACTGCCGAATTAAAAAAATGTGGGCCCTACATAGGTTGGAAGGTTTATCGAGCCTTGTAATAGATCTTTAGGTAAGCACAACACAGAACTGTTGCTATTTAAAAATTTTTTTATTAATTAGGAGAACTTATAAAACGTACATTAATACAGACTTTACAATCATGTTTTAAAATTGTGTGTTGAGTGTTGTTTTACTAATAAGTTGCCACGGCATGGTCAGGGACAGTTTCATCTAAGATTTTTAGATTTTTATCAAGGTACTAAATACTAACTAAACCTAAACTTACCGATTCTTTCACATAAAACTTAAAAACTAATATTTGAAATTATCAATAACTAATATTTGAATAATCAAAATTATTTAAAACATCTGTGGGAAATAACTATGTATATACATACATAAGAGCGATATATTTCCACAAGATACCTACATAAAATTACGAGCACACCTTCCTTACCTTCATACACATTCATATACCTTCATACACAAAACCTACAGAACATGATCAAGATTGTAGGACATAGAGATGCATATATTCTCAAGATACAGAAAGTCCAAATGATACATCATTTATGCATTTTATTAAACCCAAGTTTGCATTTGATGCACAACTTTGCTTTATAATTTTGGAAGGCTGTTTGAGAAGATGTCTGCATTAATTTTATGAATTTTCGTCAGCTTGGCTTAGTAATCCATTCATAGAAGCGTTCTGACCCAAGTTGGTTTTCGAAGTTATAATTGAAAATAGAGCGTATCTACTTGGACGGGGTGACCTATATGTTATTGTATGGGTTGAACTAAGTCAAGAAACTGCTTCTATTTCCAAATATAAACAAACTAGCTTTTCCTATAAACAAATTATCTTTCTTTATATTCATTCATACTAGTAATATATTATTAGGGATAATGGCAGCTAATTAACATTTAAAAGAAGGCATTTAGTTATTGTAAAACCTTATTGAGTTTGACAAATTTAAAGACGTAGGTATTTAAAGAGAAAATATCATTTAAATACAGCGGAGTCCTTTGAGTTAACTTTGAATATCTTTACTAAGAAATGTAGTAAAATATAAATACTAATAAACCATTATTCAATACGTATCGAACCATAAAATATTAATGAAATGAATAAGCTTTTGCTCGCTTGTAGTCGATGATTAACTACAGTGAAACTAGCTAAGCAGTATTTGTGTCGTCACAGTTCTTTAGCTGTGAACTCAATAGACAGTACATTTGTCAATCACATAATTAGATGTCACTTGTACATTATATGCGATAATTGTAAGGTTTCTTCTTTCTAACACTTGCCAAAAGGTCAACTGGATTCTTTTACAAAAGAAGAGAAAGGGTTCTAACTCAATTAGGGTATGTTAATACTTACCAGGGATTTCCTTTCTAGGGTACACCTGGTTCCCCGGCAACCGGCGTGCGGTTAATGTCGGTTCGAAATCGAATTGAGGTTTCATGGACCTTTTGTTTTAAATATGGCAAATATTGAATAATAGAAACCGGCTCTATACAGGTGTTGATACCCTAGATACTATTAATATTGTTCCATGGCTATATATGTGTGTGGGTTATTATGTATGTACGCTACATATTTCTAAAAATATCATTAAACAGATAATATTCTAGTTAAGAAAGCTTCAGAGAACAACTGCTTACTTTGAAAAAAATCTTTGTTTGCTGCCTGCGTCCACATGCAAGTGGTCTTAGAGATAAAAATCTATTTACACGGAGCTTGATTTCCTTTGCTTATCTCTAAATTTTTTATGAATCATAGTAGCGTCATTGTGTTAGACGTTTTAGGCCTGTATTTTTAACGAACTTGTAAAAAACGTGTCTACATCTTTAAATTTTTTAATAATGTACGGTGATAAAATGGCGTCGACATAGGGAATATAAAGTCTTTTTAACTTTTGAAGACACTGGACTCGATTTCACGCAAAATAAGTATTGGCGAGTAGGTAATATTACGTCTTCAGCTAGGAAACCAAGATGCTAACGTGCGATAAACAGTGCTTGCTGAACAACTTACAACCCTTGATCATCATCATCATCATCATCAACAGCCTTTAAAAGTCCACTGGTGGACATAGGCCACTCCTTAGAAAGGAGGTCTTGGCCTACTATACCACGCTGGCCATGCGGTATAGGGTTTGTTTTATGTTTTCCTTCTCTTTGCTGCTGTCCTGTGTAGTTTGCTCCCTTAGTCGGCTCTTACGACACCCACGGAATAAATAGAGGTGTTGACACTCCGTATTCTTATTCCGTACCGACAACCCTTGATCATCATACTAAATTTAGAACGTGGGAGGGACATGCTTCACCACCAATGGGCCAGGCTCGACCGGAGTGATACCACGACCTCACAGAAAATCGGTCTTAAGAAGTTCCTTCATTGCTTCTCACCAAGTGCGGTAACGGCAGCCCAAACCCCCTGATTCTGGCGGGAGGATTAAAAGGGCGGTAGAGCTCTTTTGACTTTTGAGTTGCAGGTGTTCATGGGTGTTATGATTCATGGGTAGTTACCTACCATCAGCCCTACAGTATACCTTAAAATCAGCAGCTGTGTGAGACAAACCATAAAAATAGGATTATCCGTAACTAATCAATACGGGTTCTAATCGTACCTTCTCGAAGTATAGGCATCGTTGTGGCGCATCAAGAGACGGCTGAGGGAAGTTAGAGGCTTTGAACGTTGGACATTATTGAGCTCAGACGACTGTGTCAGAGGCTGTACACTGTAGCCGACCACCGAAGCTAATCGTATATTAACGAGTAGGGTACTTTGTTCTTTATTCCAATTTCCTTTTAGTAGGATCCTCTAAATTATACTGTTCTGTTATATTATGCCACTATAAGATAAAAACATTTTAACGACTAAACAGTAATCTTATTACCATCACTGATAAATAAGTATAAATGAGTGTAGGTATGTAGGTACCACCATGCTAACTTGTATTGTAGGTTTTACAAATGCTACCTAAATATAGGGTAAAATTAAATGTAACTGTATACTAAATTATTTCAAAAGCTGATAAAACGGGTAAATAAACATTGTTTTAACATATACCTAGGTTATTTAGCTCATAATAAGCCACATTTCCTCTAACTCAGGGACCATGCACCGTCTGGTCCGTTTTCACATCATATTATTATTTAATAGCTGTATCGGTACGTAGTACCTACTGCATGTAAATAATAAATGTTTTCCGATAAACAGTTACTTTAGGCTGTCCCACTTAGAGTCAATGCGGGACCGACAAATTCAAACGTTACAGCCCTTTAAGCATATGAGCATTTTCCTAAGGCATACTCACTAAACGACAAGTACCTACACAAAGCGTCTAATTAGTATTCATCTGGGCGCGTGTAGTCCTCATCGCGGTGGGGACGGGTTATTAGCCGGCGCCGCCTCCGCGCCCAGGCATATTGTTCCGAGTTCTGCCCACCGAGCGCCGCGCTCGTCCGGTAAACGTTAATTCATTCTGTCAATATTTAAACTGCAATACTGTAGACTTGGTGTGGACGTCAAGAAAAGCCGAGCCGGTGGCTGGGAAGGCAAGAAGTCGGCATAGCTGTTTGACGTTAATATACGGCTGTGTCACTTCGAGCCAGCTCAATCCACCGGCTTTCTACAAAGCAAGACTGAAAATTACGGACGCTCCCGTAACGAAGAAATTTCGGATCGCTCCCGTAGTGTTTTCGCCGGGAGAGGGCGCGCCTGACAGCTGTCATTGCAAACTTTCTTCACGGACAGGACGTGGGACGGAAATCTTTATTTATATCACACACGACGATGTTCCCGTAGAGTGCGATCGGCTGTGTACGTGCGTGACGAAACGATACGAAAACACGACGACATAATGGCAAACGAGGAGGTGTTGGGTCCGCGGAAGACGATGGTCGTTCTTGTGATAGTTGTTGGGTGTTTTGCTGTGTTGTGGCCTAGGATCTTGTCACCGCTGATAGTGGGCCCCAGTCGTGAGCAGCTCAAGCCGAACCAGTTCGACCGGGACGCAGGTAACGTCGGTATTTTTAACACAAGCTCAATGTCAATATCGCTGGACTCGCCGTGACGAAAGTGAGCGTTTTAGTTTACAGTGATGATTATAATCTAATTATACGCCGGTTACGGATGTGAAATTACCAATGTGGCGGATTAGCTGCAGCTGATGTCATAGCTAAGGATCTAAAATACGAGTAATGCACACATTAGTGAAATCCGGCGATAACAGCGTATTTGCTGTTCGCAAGAACGAGACGTAACTGTGCAAACACGTCGCGGTCCAGCTGTTGACTTTGCGCATATAATATTTACAAAAGATCTGATTGGAATGTGGTACGGGTGTACACGAAAATACTCTTTGAGAATGATTGCATAAGATAGTATGATAATGTAATATTTCTCAAATAATTCCAAAAAAACTGTAAAGATGTTATAGTATTCAAAAACTGGAATTTTCTTTTTCATTTTTTTTTAATTATTACTTTACAAATTACAAGACAATTCTTTGATGTCAAAATATTGATATTAAATTTTGGCTCTAATACTAAAATATAACTTTTCTCAAAAAATTTAAAAGTTATCTATTTATTTTACTTAGTCAATTCTAGACCAAAACATTTCTGTAGAAAAATAAATTTTACAAGTTCACATTATCTAATTATAACTTTAATTAGCTTTTATATCAACCTTTTTATCACTAAAACTATGCAAAATTATTTATTTCAAGAGAGTATTAGGTAGGTACACTGTTAACCCACAAACTTTATCAGAGTGGTAGTGAATTAAAATCAGATTACAATTTACACAATTCTTAACACATGCATAGACTTTAAAAAAAAAGAAATAAAAAAATATGTCACTATAGCTATTTAAAAAAAGAATTTATTAAGTTATTTGCCTGTTCATAGACAATACAGATAATAGGCACATTTTATATTAAAAGTTGTTCTATTTTAATAATTTAACAGGAAAATATGTTCACAATAGTTAATATTTATTGTGATAAGTGATAACTATGAATATTAATTAGTGCAGTGCTGCTTGTTGCAGCAGCTGGTTTTTTAACACTTATAAATTATTTTTAAAAGCAAGTGGTACCATCAACTAATACTTTACTAAAACTATTGGATAGTTAAAATGAAAAAATGTGTCTAAAGGGTAATTCTTTGATCTTTTTACTTACTAGTCACATTAGCGGCACAAATGTCTTTGAAAATTTAATTAAACTTTTAAAATAAATTGAAGGTGTGTAAATCCTTGTATAAAAAAATAGTATTTGGGGATAGTAATCCATGATGTATACAACCTGTAAGATACCAAAAATAGAAAAATTAAGAATAAAAAATATATACCTATTCACCTTAAAATCACACAATAAATATATTTTTTAACTAAAAAAAAATAAGTATATAGCTGAGTTTAATATTAACAATTGAACACATTCATTATTAGTGAAAAATTAGGTTGTTGTTCTAAAAAAATAATTTTAAAACAGAAATGTGCATATATGGTATTTTTTTTTTCAAATATTTATATGGGGTGTAAACACAGACCATTAAAACAAAAACCTGACTTATTTTTCCTAATATTAGTCTATAACACCATAAATATAAGCAATATGTGTTCAATATAAACCTTTTTTTTAAATGCTATTAAAAAATAAGAAATGCATAGAGAAATAAGGTATTTATTTATTAATGAGGACCTCCAACAAAAGATGTACACAATAAAATCACTTACAATAAGATTTTTGCTAGTGCACTCCTTTAATTATAGGATGCCACAGCATGCACTAAAATGTTGGGTATTAACATTTAGATTATAACTAAAATATAATAAAGTACTTAGATATTATTAAAACCTTGACAATCAGGGTAGGTAGGTATTAGGCATTTAATATAAAGAAAGAAACATTTATTTGCACAGAATACAGATGGAAACAGATTTAACAGAGGTTTATTGTTCAAGCTATATTCTGCCCCTATTAGGCATTCAAATATTTACATTAGATCACAAACATTAACTATTAATTACAAAACATAAAGATATTTCCTAAAAATATTAAGTAATAAAATTAACAACAAAATATATTTTAATCATTTTGATGTGATTATGGAAAAGCAATTTTTCCTACTGATAATTTAAACAGGATGCTGCGAGGTAATATTCGAGAAAGACATGGCGGTCCTACAGTTAATCAACGAAATCTGCAGCTCAGCCACTCATACGGATAAGATCTCACCGTATTCAGCCTCAGAATGTAGAAAAGCTGTTAACGAAACCTGTGGATTGGACATAGTAGCATTCCTGAAACACAATGAAAATGTTGGGAAATCCACGAAAATCCTCGTCGAGACTATGAAGAACAGCAACAGTTCCTGTCTGCGGGAGCACTTCGGTGTGCCTGTCTGGAGTCTCGGCCCCCACCTTATACAGAATTCGTGGACCATACCAGACAGTTAGTCTAAATATAAATTGTTTCACATTTGTTATGCTTCCAGTTCAGACTGATACTAAAATTCAGTTCCAAGTTTTGAGATTAATGATTTCATACTGTGCCAAAACTTATTTAACTAAAATACGGTGTTTATGTACTTGACTTTTTAAGTCATACCTATAGATTCAAAGTATGTGTCCTAGTCCTTTGTCATCTGAACTGGAATTGTGGAACTAAGATGTGAAATTCAAGTTTCTTTTGGACTAACAAGCATGGATTTATTGTGAGCTTTCACTAACTGCTAGTGACTTTTAAAATAATACACTGACTGGTGATTCAGGTGTAATTTTATCGTGAAGCAAAGTTCATCAACGGTATACTGATTTATTGGTTTTTCTTTAAGACAACTCCCGCTCTAGGAATAGATCCTGTGTCGCGTTAGACTTTACAGACATACTACCTGAAACGGACACAGATAACACCTAGACTCCGAACCGTTTTCAGTAACAGTTTGCAGTAAAACTGTCAAAGTTTTATCATCACAGATTAAAGATTATTACAGAATTTCTTTATGTACTAGCGTCATCCGCGTAGGTATTTATATCCTGATCCCAATTTAGTAGAAAGTGCTCTATCTTTCTTTAAAATGTAGCTTTCATAAATTAATACAATCATTAGTTATTGCTAAAGATCAGCTGGCGGTCGAATTAAGATCATTTTCAGTGTTTGTTTTTTTATTTGACCAGCATAATTTGAATTAACCATGACAGGACAAAATATACTCGTACACTTGACGTATATAGTTAAATGTAACCGTTTTTACACAATTTTAACATTTTGCACTGCTTCGGAATAGTTAACAATTATATTAATTATAATATAATCGTTAACTATTCCAATATTATACCCTTCGTGCGTCATATTTATTAAAAAGGGATAAAAAGAATTTTCTTTACGTATTAAAATATAGAAGATTACTGACTACTGCTGTCATCAACCGTGAATAGTCCACTGCTGCCCATAGGCCCCTCCTTGGAAAAGAGATTCTGGCCTACGATACCACGCTGGCCAGACGGCTTTTTAAATGGTTTGTTTTAAGTTTTCCTTCTGTTTGCAGGACTGTAGTCCTGCGTAGTTTGCTTCCTTAGTCGGCTTTTCGCAGGATAATAGTTGTGGTGACACTCCGTATTCTTAATCCTGACGGATCCCCAAGGAAATTACTGATTTGAATTAATAAAATATGTGACGGCACATTTACCTTTATGTGTATTTAAACCTTTTAATATAATATCTATAGGTATATGAATATTACGCCTTCGTAATATTGATGTAAGTAGGCAATCGATTCACTCAAAATGAAAAAAAAGGCTACTCTAGGCTAGGAATATGATATCTACAATTACAATATTTTAACACTTTTGACACAAAACAAATGATCGTGCTCATTACACAGTTATTTGTTTTGGGGGGGGAAATTGTACCCAAGGCCTCTGGCTTAACAGTGAGGATCAATAACCAAATACTATGCGAACGACATAAACTGCAAAACACTGAAATTTTTATGGCTAGACTCTCACGCAGTTTACGGTATTGTATAAACATTTTCAAGGAAGGGAAGATTATGGTAATCACATGTGTCCGTGCTGTTTCCAGCATCTTACGTAGCATCTAAATTTAGATGTTGATGATGTACTGAGCCAGTTGTTATGCATCTACGCACTCTTGGTGTATGCAATCGTGTTGCCGCTGTTTTGTGTCAAAATTACGTACATATATACTCTCAAGTCTGTATCTCTAATGGGGCAAGTAGAGACGTATTCAACGCGCACATTTTGCCTACAATATTAATCCCGCTTACACAAATGTACAACTTTTGCCGTCAGTGCTACCTTGGAAAGAAACATGATAGGAAAGAAGTCTGTCTGTCTATCTGTTGCCTCTCCACGCTTAAACCGCTGGACAGATTTAGATGGGTATAAAGAGTGAGTCCCGGGAAAGGACATAGGATAGTTTTTATTCCAGAAATCATCCTTTAAAAGGGTAACAAGCGGGATGGAAGTTTGTATTGTTACCCTTTTAAGCGGGTAGACATAACGCTGCCGACGGCGACGCGCGGTTTCCGCACACCGGCCGTTAACACTCTAATTTAAAGCATAAGTGCCGAAAAAGAAAACTTATTTTGCTGTAACAACGCGGTCACTTATCGGTCACATGCGGTTGCCGTGCGGCGCCGGAGTGATGACCGATGGTTGAGTTACAGTCCGTTATAATTAGTTTTTAAAATGTCCTTTAGGTCATTCATATAATTTAAGTTGTTTATTTTCCCTATACTCTCGACAAAACACAAAACTTACAGGAAAACAGTGGGGCTTATAACTGATTACATTATCAATTAGGTACAAAACCGCTACGTGGACTGTACCTACGTATGTGTTGGAAATGTTAGATTGTTGAGTTAATCCGTTTTTTAGCCCTCAATATCCCTGTGCAGAGCGCTTTTGTATTATAACAGGTCAGAATATATACTGGACTAGCTGACCCGCGCAACTTCGTCTGCGTCTCTCAATAGTAATAAATTTTCTCCGTTTTTGAAACATTCTTCATTGGTGCTCCGCTCCTATTAGTCTTAGCGTGATGATATATAGCCTATAGCCTTCCTCGATAAATGGGCTATCTAACACTGAAATAATTTTTCAAATCGGACCAGTAGTTCCTGAGATTAGCGCGTTCAAACAAACAAACAAACAAACAAAATCTTCAGCTTTATAATATTAGTATAGATTAGTATAGTTTTAAACTTTAGAGCACATGGTTATGGTTAATAATTAGTTTTCTGCACTTCTTCTGCAAATAAACATTGAGTATTCCAATTATGATGTTTCCGTGCGCCATATTTATTAAAATAGAAGCACAGAATTTCTTCATGTTTAATAAATATATTTAGCACGAATAATACATAACATGTGTTTATCTGTGTTCTAAAACCAAACATAAGCTTTGCTTAGTTTGGGTCTAGATAGCTGTGTTATACTCGCCACAACGGAGTAGATTTTTCCCTACTAAAGTTTCTTAATTCTTACTTGAATAGGTGCAAAAATATAAAACATAAAAGTGCCTACCACCGGCTCCATTGCGCATATTATTTAATCCCTTATTTTCCACCCTTAGTGGTCATCATCATCAACAGCCTCCAACATTCCACTGCTAAACACGGGCCTCTCTTTATAAAAGAGGTTTTGGCCTACTATACCACGCTGGCCAGACGGGTTGGCACCTATAGGGTTTGCTTCAAGTGTCGTACGTAGTTTGCTTCTAGACACTCACGGTATGAATAGGGGTGGTAACACTCTATATTCCTAATCCGTCACCACACGGACCCTTAGTGGTGGTTTTTTTATATTCACGCTTAAACACAACGTTGACAACATTACTGTAATTTCAATAATTGGGGGGCCTAGAGCTCTTAAATTCAGCCCAAGGCTTAGATAATGAGACTCCAGATCTCCCAATAATTACCAATTAATCCAAACATTTGTCAACTTAGATATTTAATTAAGCCTTGTGTAATTTGTGGAGATAAATAAAAATATATTAGTATTATTATTTTTATATTCAAATTTGAATGGGACCAGTTTTTTTTAAATTAATCATAAATGGCACATTTCGGTAACAACAAATATAAAAAATATAAACGTATGGTAAACCGCCAAATTTTTTGAAGTCGTTTTAAAAATACTGTATCCTTGAGTAAAGTCAATTTGGACATCAAATTAGGATTCCATTACTCTCGAGTGACGTGTTCATTACTGTAATTCTTTGTATGTATACGATTGTCTAAGGAGTATATGTGTTACATACTTAAATATATTAACATAAATCTTTACATTCCTAACCATTTGCTTGTGATGACAACATCGAGTACATGCTGTGTAACTTTGTCTAGTTTTGTGTAATTTTTTATTTATTTATTTGCTCTTGCAACACAGTTTTGCTGTTTACCACATCTAATCTGTACATATATACAATCACGTCTTTGAAGCGGTAGGCAGATGTTCACTATCTACCAGAATTTAGCTAGCTATAATTTTTAAAATTCTTACGTAATAGTAATGGAAAAGCTACACGTTGCTAATACTCTTAAAAAAAAGTAAAGATTTGTCTCTTTCTTTCTTTTCTTTTTCTTAAAAAAAACAACTCTCGCACTAGGAATAAATCCTGTGTCGCGGGGGACTTTACAAACATACATGAAACTGACACAAAGAACACCCAGACTCAAAACAACAATTTGTGAATCACACAAAGTGTCGTCTCATGTGGGGATCGGACCCACAACACTCAGCGTAGTAGTGAGCGGCGTGGCGACCGCTTAAACCACTACGCCATCCGTGCAGTCTCTGAAATACAAGTTAAATAAAACCATTTTAGTTTAATGAAACGTTTTAGAATTCGTCTATTTATTTATAGCTGATTGGTTCATCTCTAAGTTGCCTACAAGAATTTGCTTTGTAGCGATAAGGCCGCACTTTAATTTTGTACATGTTCATTAATTTGATGTAGTTTTGGAAAAAAACTAATTGCTGTACAATAATTTTTATTCTAATCTAAGTTTAAAGAAACTGCTCTGTGTTGGCAATTGTAAGTTAGATTTCGCGTATGTAAACTGTAACATTTCATAGCTTTCTAGCACTGTGGTAGTGTCGAGAATTCAAGTATTTCTCGTTTAGTGGCCTCTATTAGAACAAAAGTGTTAATACCACATTGTCACACGTAAGGTCGACCAAGTAACTGTTACATGTTCCGTACATTGTTGGCTTAATATATTATGCTTCTCTCACGTAGTTTTTCGTTTTTGGTTGTATTTGCGTGATTACATTTCATAACTTTTCCGTTTCTCGTGGATTGTTCCGATATAATTATAATGACAATAATTTAAGGTATGTATACACAGCTGTCTGATCCCAAACTAGGAAAAGCCCATTTTAGCGTAACCAGACTGCTGATAAACCATAATTATACATTTCTAAATACATATAAATCCATAATTGTATTATAAACGTGAAGGGAGTTTATTTGTTTGTTACGCTTTCGCGCCTTATAGTAGGGGCCCATGATGCTAAATGGGGCTTTACTCGAGCGTCATGGGGACCTATTGCATTCGAAAGATTAGGTAATAGAATGAATAAAAGTCATAAAATATTTCCACTTTCAGCGGTGGGAAAAACTTCTACAGGTTTTCAATAACGTAAGAGTAGGAAATCGAAAAAAATACCATCAGATATTTCGGGGATATGTTATTTGGACTCCAAAAATGCTCCCATTGAAAGGTCTGACGATTTTAAAGTGACACAAGCTGGTAGCAAATTATCGAAAATGCAAACTGCAAATTCGAAAAATCTCTATTTCGAAATACCCGAGCGTGTTAGATTTTATACAGACGGTTCAGCTTGATCTTTTTTTTTCTCTTGATCGCTTTTTGCGAACTTTTTCTAAGACTCTGAGCAAGCAAGTGTTGACATACCAATCTGCAGTCACTGTCCTTTGATCTTCAAACGATACTGTAGTGTAATGTTCTGATTTCCAGAAAAAAGAAGCAACCATTTTTTACCAATGCTCTGACTTAACTTTCGTCGGCACATCTGCAAAAGGAAAGACCCACTCTGCCGACTGGCTTTTTCCCGGCTGTCCCACACACAGGAGCCTTATAAATTCGTCTCGACACCCCTCTCTCAACTCTTGTCAGCACATCTTTTGTCACGTTCTGTCTCGTATCTACACACCTTTTTTACTCATAATTTATTTTTAACTCTATTCTATTAGTCAATCTTTCATAACACTGACAAGTTGGCATGATTAAAATATGGTCTTCTAGGCTATAGAGAGATTCAGACTATAAGATTCAGGTGGCACAAGCGACTGCGACTCTATAGTCTATGACTTTACCTATATTATGTTGCCAGATTCATTGTAAGTTCGAACTGTACCAAACAAACTTAGTACAGATGTTTGTACGTGTCTATATCACGTCATACTGGTTAGCATTAGTCGCAGGACCTTGGAGGCCCATATGTTTTTTTTTTTTAACACATTTGGTAATGCGCCAATTGACGAGTCGGGTTAAATTGATACATGTGTGGATACTAACACATGTATATATGTTTTTTGTTGTTGTAATATTAAATAAGTATGTTAAGTTACGCAAGCGTGTTAAAATATTCTTCGAAGTAAAAACATTAGTACTAAATCTTCTTGCACGACTGCGCCAAAAGTACTCTAGGTACATGAAAATTTAAAAAAGTTAAAATCGCAGGTTTGTAACTTTTAAGTATGCATTTTGATGCTGTCAGGTTTTTTGATATATTTTTCAATAATTGACTTCTACTGTCCTGACGGTTTGTCGCAAAAGAATGCGATAAGTAGTTTAGACACTCCTCTCTTGATTTTAAAATAACACAACCCAAAGAATTCTGAAGAGACTGAAACAGATAAAAATCTAGTCAGGACTATACGGTTGATGCATTAACACTTTTACACCCTCCTCTTTAAATTTTTGCTGAGTGCCCAATGATGTGTGTGGTCTTATCATCATCATTATGTGGCGTTATCATCATGAAATACCACTTCTTTTCTGTAGATCAATTCCGGCCGTTTTTTCTCAATTTCTTGCTTGAGTCTCATCAGTTGTGGGCAGTAGATATCCGAATCCATTTGGCCGGCGGTAAAAGCTCATAATAAACGATGCCCTTTCCAATCCCACCATACACACAGGTTTCGCTACAGTCTGTGGAGCTTGTCTATCCATTGACCATGATCTTTGAGGTGATGAACTTTTAGTCACCAGGTTCCTTTCAGTGAGCTTGTGTGTCTACCATATAGTTTCCTGCTTAGTTGAAGATCAGACGGCCGTACAGCTATCGTACCTTAAAAGCCCTGAGATAATAATAGAAGTGGACAAATTTAAATAGCATTAAATGTAACTCACTAATTAGACTGTAACAAGCTTGTCAATCACACTGTCATCACTGCGGTGTGACTCAGGCTAGGATGACGTGGACGTTAGGAAGTCGCCAGTTAATATCTGGGTTACAATTAGCCTTGTTTTTATTGATTATGTAGATATATGTTGCTATGCTAGCCGCTGTCCTGCCGCCCGTGGACATAGAATAGAATACAATAATCTTTATTGTACACCAATTCCGGATATTATACATTCAATAGTATTCCAAGTAAATGACCATGTACAAATGGCGGCCTTATCGCTAAAAAGCAATCTCTTACGGGCAACCTTTGGATGGACAAATAGACTGTAAATATGTAAATCAAGAAATACAAATGCTTTGCAGAATGCCCCGCTCCGAGTATGCTGGCTGGAATTTTAGGCCTACTTACGCAATATTTTTATTCAAAGAACTGCATTAGGAATATATATCCTGTGTCGCTGAGGACTTTACAAATATATATGAAGCGGACACAAAGAACACCCAGACTCAGAACAACAATATATGAATCACACAAAGTGGTGTCCCATGTGGTGATTGAACCCAGAACATTAAGCGCAGTAGGGAACGGCGTGGCGACCGCTTAAACCACTACAAGAATATTATCTATCTATCTATATAATAGGTCTTTACCTATGAAATTGCCGTTTTGTATGCAATAAGTGAAAGTACTTATTTAGATTAGAACATATACAAGTTCCAAACATTAACCTTGGTCCGCCGGCCATGATCAACTCGCCTGTGCGGAGGATCGTCCCTGTGTTGGCGGGACATGGCACCGTTCCTCCACACAGGCAGTAGCTCGGGTGCTCAGAACTGGCTGAAAAAAAATGTATAGTCGCCGAAATGTGAGCGTTTAAATACTCCACTGTCTACCCCCCCTTTTTTTTGTCTGTGCGGAAATCCCTTCGGAGACCACCCACCGGTGGTTATGTCGGACATGAACCGCCCAAAAACCGCACGGCGTCTTGAGTACCAGTAGCCCGGAAAGCAGTGTACACTAGGAAGGAAATCCCTGGAACCCCGTCGGACCCCGGGCCATCTACGGCTTGTACATGACCCCCTTGTGTGTGTCCTTCGTCTACCCCTATATGGATAAAAGACGCGAGTGTATGACGTGTTGATGAAATTAGTATTAAATGTACAATACTTGAAATATTATTTAATAACTACCAAGAAATTAGAAGAACATATTATTTGCAATTGCATGAATGTTTTTCTTTTTCAATTAATATTTCAACTCATGACTAATCTTCCATGTTCCATGACTAATGAAAGCCTAATCTTCCATGTTCTTTTAAAATGAATATAACGCGGTCATAGACGAATGAAAATAATTTCTAAATGTATTTGTTAAGTGTGTACTAATAAAAACATTAAAAATGTGTTAACTGGTAACTTTCTGTAAACTTCTAATATCCTTAATACTTGTACACAGGGCAAACGAAATAAGAGTACCTGGTCAGTCGAACGAAGTACCTGTGCTTTAAATTAACTATTAAACTAGAAAAATCATCTGTACATTGGTCCTTAATATTTAAAATACTCCAATAGCAAAAGGGAGTCTTAAAAGTTTTGTTAACTTTTGTTTTTTTTAATAACCCTTTTAACCCGTAACGTGAAATTTGCTGTTTAATTATTCGAGGATTAAAATTATTTAACAAACATAAAGCTAACGTTTTTCAAAGATAAGTTAATATTTTCAACTATTACCCTTTATCCGTCGTGTGGTGACGGATTAAGAATACAGAGTGTCACCACCCCTATTCATCACGTGGGTGTCGTAAGAGGCGACTAAGGGAGCGAAATACGCAGGACAACAGCACTGCAGAGAGAAGGTAAACTTGACACAAACCCTATACCAACCCGTCTGGCCAGCGTGGTATAGTAGGCCAAAACCTCCTTTCTAAGGAGAGGCCTATGTCCAGCAGTGGACTGTTAAAGGCTGTTGATGATGATGATGATGATTGATGATGACCCTTTACTTACAATTAGATTTTATTGGACCCCTCCCTTTCATTTTGATCTCGCATAATGAAATAATGCCCCTAAGTAAAAAATTTTTTTTGTTTCTCAACAGCATTAAAGCAAGAACGTCCAGCTGTCCGCGGTGTCGGTCCTCATCCTGCCCTCCGTGAAAGAGGTCGTGCGATCCCCGCTGGAACACCCCCTCCGCCACCGACCAGAGGGCCCGTGACGATGCCACCTCATGCTAGGGTACGATCCTCCCCCCTATCGGTCTACTTTGAACTGGATATCAAGGTCAGTTGACGAAGGAGTGTCGTGTTAAGCTTGAGCAAGGCTTAAGGTAGGTTGGGTCTTCCTAGTGGTTCATCTAGACAAGGTTTCTCCATTTTATTGCTTTAAATGTTAAATTTACGGTTATGCAAATCTCTTAAACACATAGATAACGATAGATTAATGAGGGTCAAACAGGTACAGTGACCCATCCCAAAGGGTAAAATTAGGAGTTCTTTGGGGACCAGATTACCTCAAAGTAATAAACGCTTTTTTGGATACGCTATTATCGCTAAAACTTCCAGAAAACTTTTAAAAAAAGCTCACTTTTTTGTACCAATTCAAGGATCGTAGAGCATTTATAAAATCATTTCGTAAAAACACTGCCATCTACTCTAGATAGTAGAGTCTGATTGACCTTTTTCTTATAAATATCAAATGTCTTTTTAAAGACACCATTTCCTCAAGTGTATTTCGAGTGGTTTGGATGGCAGTAGTTCTTAATTTGATAGATAATACTCTTTAAACATTATTGTAGAAGTCTTCAGATCCTAGATTAGATTGGTATATGAAATTCACGTCACGTCACAGATTACATGATTTTGGAGATTTACATAATTTGATATTCATCTGCTATAGTTGGGGTGTTGTGTTTAATAACTTTAGTGAAGTTTTGGAACCACTGGGAAAAATGTCAACACTAATGCCTAGAAAGACGCGTATCGCTTCTGGATAACAACGTCTAATTCTAAGGTAAGTAATAGAATAGACAGCCATAACACTATGTGAGCTTTATGGCGCTTATTATAGTTTTATAGAAAAGTAAATTCTACTAGTTACAGGCTCCTTGGTATTAAAAGATTCGATATACTATGTGTATAGTGGTAAAAGACATTAAAAACTGCTGAAATTAGCCCGCCACGCGATCTCAAATTCCTAGTAAATCTAAATCGATTTTTTACATTGACAGAATACGAGGACAACATACACACATACTAGTACTTGGCAAGCTTCATACTATTTTATATACAAAACCTATTAATATCACTCCGATCTTCACATCCTTACATATTGTAAAATTAAGTCCCCCGGCCGCGTCTTATGTCTGTATGAACGTGATAAACTCAAAAACTTCCGAACGGATTTTTGTACGGTTTTCACCAACAAATAGTGTTATTCCTGAGGAAGGTTTAGGTGTATAGTACGTACAAAAGCTAGTACATATATTATAAATGTATAAGTGAGTTTAAATTTTCTTGTAGTACATACTCTGGTAGATAGCCTATTTGTGATTCAGAGTTGATGAAGAATGGATTTGTTAGTTCTTTTAGCTGTTAATAGAAGTCTCAACATGCGGCCCTAGCATCCGAATTCAAAGGCTATTTTCCTTTACTATACTAGTATATCCTTGCGCATATTTTTCTGTGGCTCTGAGCCGTAGAAAAAAACGGAATTCTCATTTAGTATTCACCTGTTTTCAAAATTAGCCGATTTAAAAAAAATGAGATTTCGGTATATAGTTTTTTTTTTGGATTGCAGATGGTTTTGGTTTGGGTTACAAATATCCATACCGTCAGGAAAAGAACTAATTTAATCTGAATGCTACTTTATATATGGCTCTCAGATCATAGTAACTGTTCCTCTTTTAGTTTTTCTACTGGAACATCTTACTAAGACTACTGTTTAAATTAGACCGTATGCTATGTTTGTTCAAGTTTTGTGGTATTTAGCTTGCATAAACAACAAAGAGGGATATCATACCTAATCTGTAAAACCCACCCGACAAGTAACGCAAATTATCAGTTCAGTACCAACATAGTTTATTGCTTAAAACTGGTCTAGTTTCGTTTGCTTATCTATTAGTGACGTGCTAGTTTAAGAGGCCACCGTTCAGTAATTACAGTTAGCCGAAACAGCATAGAAAAATTTATTTGTAAGACAACTGTTTTGCATGACAGTGGGACGAAAAGTGTAAGATTTGTAAGTTGTCTTTTTAAAACAGTCTTTTAGTTACGCGTTACCGATTTCATTTTAGAGTGATGTTTATATTATCATGAACAATATGCATCGTTTAGGTACGTTTTTCTAGATTTGGAAATGCCTAGTGTAAATTGATTTTATTGTAGTAATTTCATAAAGTACATACACATACACAAAAACGCCGAAATTCTCGGTTGCGTTTAAAGTTTTGCTTTTCTCGAAAACCACTGGCCAATAACTTTGGACAGAACCAAGTCTATCGGAGCAGGTAGTTTCAATGTTTAAAGCCTAGTTTCTTTGATTAAAAACCGACTGCAATAAGTACTGATTTTGACGATAGGCTAATATCATTATGATGTAGGTATTTGGTAAATGAAAATAATGATAAACGTGTGACGTGGCCAAAAGAGAGCTCAAAGAGATAATTCAGGGATTTTGCTGACTATGGTTCTATTCCCACTAACGTAATAAGACGGACTTACGAAATTAGTTGGAAAAATTTGGAATTCAATATGAAAGGACAAGTTGGTGTGATGGTAAAGCTACGGTAGGAAAGAGATAGTGGATACAGATGAATTAAAAAGTGCTCGGGCCGGTCGGGTAATCCGTGTGGTTTAAGAATACGGAGTGAGGGCAAATATTATGTGGTGAGCACGATGATTTAAATTTGCTCATTTGTCTGGATGTAATTTATATATGATATATGTATGTATTATAGAAATATATATGTATGTTTATCAGCAGACTGGTTACCATAGAACAGGCTCTGTTTAGTTTCGTAAGTTATTTTATTTATGTCATATTTTTATATCTTATGTATCCTGCAAAACTTCTATCATATGAAGATTACCTATTAAAGTACTCGTAATTAATCGCCTCTTATAACGTTTTATTCTGTTTATTAAAGTAAATTATATGGTACTTAGCCTCAAGATATATTCAGGCATTGCAGAGACAATAAACGCAGAACTGCCTGCGTCTTATGTCTTGTATCTAATATTTTTACGTGTTTACAAACATCTGTAAACATAAAGATTTAATATAATTTTCGTTGGTAATATTCACACTTTAAAATGGCTAAACGGATTTGATTATGTTTTTATTTAATTTTCTAAAACCCTATTACTAAGACTCCGCTGTCCGTCCGCCCGTCCGTCTGTCTGTCTGTCTGTTTGTTTGTCCGTCTGTCACTAGGCTGTATCTCATGAACCATGATAGTTAGACAGCTCAAATTTTCACAGATGATGTATTTCTGTTGCCGCTATGACAAGAAATACTAAAAACAGAATAAAATAAATATTTAAGGGGGCTCCTATACAACAAACATGATATTTTTGCCGTTTTTATAGATAATGGTACGGAACTCTTCGTGCGCGAGTCCGACTCGCACTTGGCCGGTTTTTTCATAATGTATAAATATAATAATAATAGTTGGAACATGGCTTTTTGCATAAAGAAAGAAATAAAGGGATTTATTGAGTCATTTATCTCATTACATCTAATAAAACACCTGCCACACACAGCTCTCATCATCATCAACATCATCATCATCCTTTAATAGTCCACTGCAGGGCACAGGCCTCTCTTTAGAAAGGAGGTTTCGGTCCGCCTTATGCAATGTATTTGCAGGAACTATTACAAGAAGGTGCCCAGAATATGGGCAAATTCGAGGAGAACTTGAAATGTATTTTTCCATGACATTTAGCAAATTTGTTTAATTACGGCAAAACAACGGCTGTCAGTCAACCAATCTTCTTATTTCTGACTAACTGAAATTTTGTAAAAAATACAATAGGTCAGCCTGAATTTGTAGTTCACTGGAATATTAAATATTTAGTATGAAATGAAACCATTATTTTTTTAATAAAATTGATAGGTATTCTCATCATAAATTTGATTCTAAAACAAAACAGTGTGTATAATTCCAAAATTTACGATGGTTTAAGATGGGTGAGTGCAGGCTCACGATTCTTGTTTCGTAAAAGCAAACATCAAGTGGTACACAAACAGCGGTTGGCATTGGTGCGCGGCCTAGACACGGTGCGCAGAAATAGATAGCAGTGACACTCCCGCGCATCGTGACGCTATGTCTTGCGCAGGCGACGATATACGACGACTACCCGCGTGATATATGGACTTTCTTTTAGTTTTAGAATTATATTTATTTATAGATTACTATTATAGATCATTATCAAATTTTCTTACTTTTAGACGGATTAGATAGGTTAGGTTAGAAATCAATATTTAAGTTTTCTAACAATAATAATTTCACTCATCTCACACACGGCCGGCTGATCCCAAACTAGGCAGAGCCTGTGCTATGGTAACCAGACTGCTGATGAACATACTTATATATTTTAAAATACATACATATTATAGATAAATTACACCCAGACACAGAGTAAATGACCGTGCTCATCACACGATATTTGTCCTGGGTGGGAATCGAACCCACGACCCCCGGCTTAGCAGTCAGGCCAACTAACCACTAGGCCAACAGGTCCGTCGAATAATTTGAATTTGGAAACAGGGTTTCGATTTCAATATTAAGCAGATTTTGAGTTCTTCTTTTCGTTATTATTCCTTTAATCTGTCTACACGGTTTTTGTCAGTCAGTCACTTTAAAGAAAAACCTTTTCCATTGTGGAATGCATTCTATCGTTTGAAATTACAACATCTCTTCATTCCATACAAATACGTTGTAAAATCATTTGCCTAGTGAACAAGTCCAATACCATTGGAATAAATTTAGACATTTTTAGAGGTTAGGTTTTCAAATGGAATGTAATGCACAAAAAAATTATTTAAACTATTTTATCCTGTTTTTATTGTAACTATGATTTGGAACACAAGGATGCAACGGCTGGCTTTAATGCAGCACACCAGGATAGTCCATTAAATATAACCGGTAAATAGAATGTCCGTGGTGTGGTGACGGATTAAGAATAGAGAGTGTCACCACACCTATTCATCCCGTGGATGTCGTAAGAGGCGACTAAGGAGCAAACTACGCAGAACAACAGCACTGCAGAGAGAAGGAAAAC